TGGGATTTATTTGAATAAAAAGCGGCATAGAAATAGAATCAATCAGTTTGTAGGACGCTGATCTTCTGACTTTTTGTTATACGTGGGATTTTGTTGTTGTTATGTTCAGCTTCTTTTATTGGCCATGCCTTTCAACTTCCTTGTTTTATTTAGGGTTGCCATATGACCCATCTTCCTGTCTCCCACTGAGGCCGTCCACTAGAATGGGTGCTCCCAGATGACAGCTGAGGCAGAGCTTACATTTTAGCATGTAAGGGGGATATGAATGGTGATGATGATCTAATGTAACATTATGAGAGCGCTCCAATTGGAGAACAGCCTTTGACAAAGGTGTCGTGGACTTTGAAGACGCTGGAACTTGGGACGAAAGGGAGAAACATGCTAAGAGGGAGGCACGTTTGGTAAACCCTCACTGTGATCAACTCCCGCCCAGAAACCTAGGTCCCCACTGTGGAAGGATGTGTGGATCCAGAATTGGCCTCCACATTCACTTATGGACCCACTGTTAAGATCGTATTCATGGAAGACAATCTTACCTAGCTGCGTATGATCGTCAGAGAAGAAACATCATCATCATCAAAATTGGTCTATTGCCCTTCATTTGTAGATCTCAGGGCGGTTCACAAGATAAAACCACAATGTTGGTTGCTGGAAATCAGCGTTCTTAAAGTCCAGATTGCATGTCTGACTCCACTTGGGTTTCCCTTGGCTTTGCATCATGAAACCCAGGAGAACAGGATCACTTTCTCCCAAGGGTCCCAGTGCTTCCACTTTGTGACTCAGTTCCTCCATCGGTGAGGACCAGGTCCAAGAGGAAGGATCCCCTTGTTGCTTATTCTAATGATGATTCATGGGCATAGCCGGGGGGCAGTTGCCCCCCAAATCCATAAAAATCCATAAAAATAGTTAACTAATTGAGTTCCTGTCCCCCCTAAAATAAAACCTGTCCCCCTCAACAAGAATCCTGGCTAAGCCCATGTGAGCATTAGCTATATTTTAAAAGAGTTCTTTATATATTTTCTCTATGGGGATTTAAGGGCTTTGTAATCATCATGTTTTATACGATCTCAGCTTTTTCAGTAAACCGCCTTGACTCCCAATATGGGGGGAAAGGCGGGGCACGCATAAATAAATAAATAAAATAAAATGTTAATAATATAGATGTTGATTCTGTGATACGAAGGCTGCCCACGGTCACTGGGACAACCAGTCCTTGGGGGCTAGGGTTTTGCAACAGAAATACAATCGTACCTTGGTTTTCGAATGGAATCCATTCGGGAAGCCCATTCGACTTCCGAAAACATTCGCAAACTAAGGCGCAGCTTCCGATTGGCTGCAGGAGCTTTCTGCGCTCACTCGGAAGCTACAGAAGCCCCTTCGGACATTTGGGTTCCAAAGAATGTTTGCAAACCGGAACACTCACTTCCGGGGTTGCAGCATTTGGGAGCCAAAAAGTTTGAGTCACAAGGCATTCAACAACCAAGATACGACTGTATAATAAATAAAAAACCAACTTATAGACACATACACAGTGGTACCTCGGGTTAAGTACTTAATTCGTTCTGGAGGTCCGTTCTTAACCAGAAACTGTTCTTAACCTGAAGCACCACTTTAGCTAATGGGGCCTCCCACTGCCGCTGTGCCGCTATGCAATTTCTGTTCTCATCCTGAAGCAAAGTTCTTAACCTGAGGTACTATTTCTGGGTTAGCGGAGTCTGTAACCTGAAGCGTCTGTAAACCTGAAGCGTATGTAATCTGAGGTACCACTGTATCTCAAATGTTCTTGTTTAATATTTTTGCTTATTCCCAGGCGGGGTTTCTACTTCCCCATTTTAATTGTTCAGTCTTTCCCCATCACCTCTGTTCTTTTACATCCTATCCATAGGATCTAACATTCATGGAGACACCTTGAGGTGCTTGGATTATCTTAGAAATAAATGCTGCTTAAAAAAATGTGTAATAAACCTCAGGACTTAATCAAGAAGGTAACTGCAACAGGGCAGAAGGTGCATCGATTTTCGAGACGGTTTCCATTTTTGTGTGTTGATGGGTCCCTGGTTCACTGTAGGTTTCGTCATCTTGATCCTCGCACAACAGCTTTCAATTTTTGTGATTCCGAAATGTCCAGACCAGGGATTGGTGCTTGTGGGATATATTGGTGCTATGTGAGGTTCCCCCAAACCTTCCCTCTATTATTATTTCATATGTAACCTGAGGTACCACTGTACATAACATTATCTATCTATCTATCTATCTATCTATCTATCTATCTATCTATCTATCTGTCTATCATCTATCTACACATGAGAAGCACTCGGAGCCCACAGGACATAAACAGACACCAACAAATGTTGTAATAGACAAATATTGCCATTTAGCACTACCTGGTAAATGGGATCTGAACCACAAATATAGGAACTATACAAATTATCCATCTGTGATCTAATGTATCAACCCCACAATCTACGCATTTTGTCCACAAAAGTGTTCCCTCTTTTTAAAATCTAGGTTACCTCTTAAAGGTAACTTAGCATGAGCATATGGATCAATTTGTAACTGACAAGACAATATAGATAACTGAGATTGGCACAGGATCATTCTTTTTTCTTTTTTACATATCTAGACTCATCCAAAAAGGGGTGTTAAGTGCGACACCACTGTGTTTAGTGTGCTGGGATACTCGGGGAGAAAGAACCCATTGTTTGTGTGTTCGGGCTTTGTGTGTTCTGGCAAATATGCCTCACTGGTACAGACTGATGTCTGGAAAAAATGAATCCTCCTTCCGGTATAGGCGACGACATTTTTTTTAAGTGTTAAAGAATGTGGAGAAGTACCCCAAATAAAAGTCTGAAATAATGCATTGGTCCTTTTAAAATATGCTTGGGGGATGTTTGGAAACGAACACGCCACCGTGGGTTCCTGTTTAATAAATATTGTGTGCCGGATTTAGCTAAGTAGTTGCACTAGATCAGGGGTCTGCAACCCACGGCTCCGGAGCCGCATGTGGCTCTTTTACACCTTTGCCACGGCTCCGGGGCGGATACTAGCGAGGGGAGGAGGCGCATTGTGCGCCCCGACACTCCCCACTGTGGCGGGCGCTGTACTGGCTGTGACGTCGCATGGGGGCAGTGCGTGCGTTAGTCACGCACCGTCCCGACGTCACCTTCCCACCCGCTGTCAGATCGGAGGGCAGCGGCGCGCATGCTTTAAATGTCGCAATGGTTTTGCGGCTCCCAGGTTTTTTTTCCTTCGGAAACAGGTCCAAGTGGCTCTTTTTGTCTTAAAGGTTGCAGACCCCTGTCCTAGGAGGATCCAGCACAAGTCCTGCTAGTACAAAGGGCCTTCCCCCTTTCATTCCCACCCCTTTAAAAAAAAAATGGCTCTGGGGAGATCAGGGGAAACCCCAGAACAGTGTGCAAGGGAAGGGGGGTGTCATTTCACATGAGAAGCAGAAATGTTGTGTTTCAGAACACAACACTGAATTCCATCCATTATTTGGGGTGGGGGGTATTTGGGGAGGGATGGTGCCTCTGGTGGGGGACATGTCTCACTCCTTATGGGGTAGTTTGTCCACCTTTGGTCCCCAAACTTCACCCAGCTCTCACCTGTGGCTCCTACAAGCTGTCAGCATGCGACAGCAGCCACCCCTGGGGAAATGGCTTCACCTGGCCAGCTAAACCAGGTGAGAGGAGCCGATGGGTCTCAAATCCTCGGTGAGTTAGGGGCTTCCCCTGCATTTGAAGACAGGCTCTGGAAGATGGAGCGTTGAGACCAAGAGGGGAGCCAACAGTCAAGGTTTCTGCACATGTTGCAGGGGGAAGTGAGAGATGACGAAGAAGAAGAGTTTGGATTTGATATCCCGCTTTATCCTACCTGAAGGAGTCTCAAAGCAGCTAACATTCTCCTTTCCCTTCCTCCCCCACAACAAACACTCTGTGAGGTGAGTGGGGCTGAGAGACTTCAGAGAAGTGTGACTGGCCCAAGGTCACCCAGCAGCTGCAGGTGGAGGAGCAGAGACGCGAACCCGGTTCACCAGATTACGAGACTACCGCTCTTAACCACTACACCACACAGGTGGGGCTTGTCCATCTGGGAAGGGAGACCATCGAGGAGAAGGAAGACTCTCATCCTAAACCTCCGCTGCCTTGTGGGATACCTTCAGGAGAAGAAAAGGTATCGGGAGCAAACCCTACATGAGTCCAGAGTGGAGTCCCAAAGACGGTTGGATGGCGCCTTGTACGCCTTCGGGCAACGTCTTGCTCTGCTTTCCTTTGAACCCCATCAGCGAGGCCAAGAGGGGGGTCTTGTAGTCTGGGCAGCCCAGGACCTCCAGACACACTGCCCAGGCTAGTGCAGCAGTTTGACTTCACCACAGAGATGCACCCCATTGTCTCTTGAGACAGCTCGTGTTTTTCTATTCCGCCACCAGAATTAACTAACTGAGCAAATCTAGGGTGCTTGTGTTATGACTTGGGCACAGTCACTCTTTTTCCTTGAAGCTTCACTTAATTGTCGCAGCATTTTCTGCATTTCCTTTCCATCGAACCTCAATATTTTGATTTTTCTTTGTACACCCCACATGTGTATACAGGCAACTCCCCATTTGATACGATACGATAATCTTTACTGTCATTGTCCCATACAGAACAACAACATTGGGGGGGGGGGGAAATCTACATTCAAAACCAACAAAACATTCAAAACCAACAAGCCTGCTATCCCAGCTATCCCAACCTGGTTAGCCCCCTAAAAACTCTCATACCCCATTTTTAAAATACAATATACTCCCATAGAGACTCCTTACACTGCATTTAAAACCAAAAATGCATTTGGGTAGAAACTGTTTCTCAGGTGGCTAGTCCTAGTCTTTATAACCCTGTACCCTCTTCCAGAAGGCAGAAGCTGAAAGAGATCATATCCTGCGCTATCTCTGCAGCTTTCTTATAGCACCTGGAAGCGTAGATTTGCTCCAAGGTGGGAAGAGTGCACCCAATTATTTTCTCCGCAGTCTTTACAACCCTGGACAGCATTGTTTTTCCCCTGACCATGCAGCTCCCAAACCACACACACAGACCACGTGTTCAAAGCAGGTGTATACCATTTTTGGCCCTGGAAGTGGGTGCAATGGGGTGTGGTGGGCTTACCTGTGCACTGTTGACATGCACAGTGACCTGGAATGGAACCCCCACAAAAATTGAGGGGGGTGCACAAATTGGAGAGTGCCTCCTGACCGAGATAAAACCATGTAGCTGATGATGTGAACTTTAGGCCATAAAAGCTTATGCCTCAATAAATTGGTTTCAGTCTTTCAGGCGCCAGAAAAGTCTTGCCCCTCATGGCTACCCTCATTCTTGAAACTAACAAATGCACATTAATACAGATATTTATACCAGAAACAGCTAACCATCTTCACTGATCCACTGATACGAGGTATGGCTGCCACCTGCACCAAAGCTTTTCTCACATTCCACACGTTTACGTCGCTTTGCCCCTGTGTGGGTTCTCTGATGTGTATTAAGATTCCCTCGACGACTGAAGCTTTTCCCGCATTCCGCGCATTCGAAAGGTTTCTCCCCTGTGTGGGTCGTCTGATGTCTGTGAAGGCTTCCGCCCGTGCTGAAACTTTTCCCGCACTCCGCACATTTGTAGGGCTTCTCGCCTGTGTGCGTTCTTTCGTGTTTCGTAAGGTGTGTCCTCTGGCTGAAATTCTTCCTGCACTCAGCACATTGAAAGGGCTTCTCCCCTGTGTGAGTCGTTTGGTGTCTGTTAAGGCTTCCGCTCGTGCTGAAGGTCTTCCCGCACTCCACACATTTATAGGGCTTCTCTCCCGTGTGAGTTCTTTGATGTAAGGTAAGCTGCTGGCTCTCAATGAAGCTCTTTCCACACTCCATGCACTTATAGGGCTTCTCTCCTGTGTGGGTTCTCTGATGGGAAAGAAGGCTCCCACTACGACTAAAGCTTTTCCCACACGTCATGCATTTATAAGGTTTCGTCCCGGTGTGAGTTTTCTGATGTGATGTAAGATTATAGCTTTGGCGGAAGCTTTTCCCGCACTCCAGGCACTTATATGGCTTCCCCCCCGTGTGAGTTATTTCATGCGCAGTCAGACTTTTGCCGTCAATGAAGCTTTTCCCACACACAACACACTCGTATGGTTTCTCCCCTGGGTGAAATATTTGCAGAGAATTAAGGCTTCCACTACTGATGAACCTCTTTCTACACGCCATACATTTATGAGGTTTCTCCTCTGTGCGGGTTTTGGGATGTGTGTTAAAGGGGCTGCCGGAAGCAAAACACTTCCCGCAGTCCACGCATGTGTACATTTTCTCCCTTGTGTGGATTCTCTGATGTGCATGAAGGCTTCCACTGTGGATGAAGTTCTTTCCACATTCCAGGCACTTATACGGTTTTTCGCCCGTGTGAGTCCTTCTATGTGTATGAAGACTTCCGCTGTTGCTGAAGCTCTTTCCACAGTCCGTACACTTGTATGGTTTCTCCCCTGTATGAATTCTTTCATGGGTAGTAAGGCTTCCGCTATCGCTGAAGGCTTTTCCGCAATATGTGCATTTATAGGGTTTCTCCCCAGTGTGAGTTCTCTGATGAACGGTAAGATGGTGGCTGTGACCAAAGCTCTTTCCACATTCCAGGCACTCATATGGTTTCTCCCCTGTGTGGGTTCTACAATGCCTGTTCAAGTTTGATTTATCTTTGAATGTTTTCCCACACACCGGGCATTTTTCTTTTCTATTTCCTTTCTGATCTTCCTGTGGGATTAGGAGTTTGTGGACACTGGCACCCTGAGAAGCAGAGAATCTCTTCCTCCCTGCCTTTGGTTGGTTTCCCATGTGCTTTTTCCATCCCCTTTGAATACCAAGCTCCTTCCCCACTGAATGGTTGGCCGTTTCTGACAACACCTCAGGTGGCTCCACAGAATTCTCATTGTCCTTCTGTCTGAGGCCTGCGTGCAGAAAAGAAAAACTTCATGTTAGGAGTTCAAGGCAGAAATCTCATCAGGGGACTGAGTCAAATTAGCCATTTCTCTAATGACAACAGCTCCAAAATTCTCCCCATTCTTCTCTGCGCATGCTACTGAAATCTAGCTTACAACAGGCACTCAGCTGTATTCCTCTCAGCTCTAAAGACTGCTGACTGCAATATTTTGCATGATTATTTCCAAAAGCTTTATTCCAAAGTTCACTACAATGCCCAAGCCCTGGTGCTTAGCAGGTGCACTATTTGAAAGTAAAATAATAACAAAAGAATAAAACCAGTTTATTTATTTATTTGGAAGGGATCCCAAGGGTCATCCAGCCCAACCCCTGCAATGCATTAATACTGTTCATAGCCATCCCTCCCAGGGCTTGAACCACCAACCTTCTGGTTAACAGCCAGATGCACTGACTATGTTCCATGCTGGGACCCCTCCATTGTGGTGGCAAATACTCAGAACAGGAGTTCCCCCTCTCCAGCCTCAATCAGCCAAAGAGATCTTTACCCACAGAGTGCAGATTCCCACAACTCTCCATTGTGGCTTCCTTGTACAAAGCTCCTGGATCCAGGAGATTTTACTCCCCCTTGGCGAAATACGCAGTCACCTTCTTCTCTGCTGAAAGAAAGGAGGATTCTTCATTTGAAGGTAGTTTCCTCCACGTGTACCACTGCTCCCTCTTTGAACACTGTATTTTAATACTTTGTTGGAAGCCGCCCAGGGAGGCTGGGGAGACCCAGCCAGATGGGCGGGGTATAAATAATGCATTATTATAATATTATTATTATTTGAACAGTGGCCAATGAATAAGCTAGACAGACACATAAGCCAAGCAGGGGGAAACTCACAAAGCTGCTGAGAGAGTATTGTATTGTATTGTATTGTATTGTATTGTATTGTATTGTATTGTATTGTATTTTTACCAATAGTGTGGAGGCTTATGAAAAATGCAGCAATGGGATTCTTACAACCAGATTCAACTAAATAGTTGTGCTGGCAAGAGCCAGTGTTGTGAGTCCTGTTACTGCAAAGGTAAAGGTAAAGGTACACTGGACCGTTAGGTCCAGTCGCGGACGACTCAGGGGTTGTGTGCTCATCTCGCTCTATAGGCTGAGGGTTCCGGCATTTGTCCGCAGACAGCTGCGGGTCATGTGGCCAGCATGACTAAGCCACTTCTGGTGAATCAGAGCAACGCATGGAAATGCCGTTTACCTTCCCTCCGGAGTGGTACCTATTGATCTACATGCACTTTGATGTGCTTTCGAACTGCTAGGTTGGCAGGAGCAGGGACCGAGCAATGGGAGCTCACCCCATCGCGGGGATTCGAACTGCCAACCTTCTGATTGGCAAGCCCTAGGCTCTGTGGTTTAGACCACAGTGCCACCCGTGTCCCTTGTTACTGCAAAAGTGCTATATATGTATATAATTTTTATTAAATTTTCTGTTTTACAATTTAGAATACTCATTTAAACAACCTTAAAATATCCATGGCTTTCTTTCTTCTCTTTCCATGGTTCATTTTGCATATCAAAAATCCCTGCATATTTTAGGTAAGCTAAACCATACAGTATTCCATTATTACATCCATCAAAGCTTATTTACACTGTTGAATTTATCTTAATGCTGCCAACGTTTTCAAGTGTACACAATCCCCCCCCATATATTCAACAAACATTTCCAGTCTTCTCAGTGCAACAGTGCTTTCTCCCTCCTCCCACCTCAGTGGCCCCCCAATCAGATGGGGGGGGGCAGGAGAACCACTGCCGGCAGCACTGTTCATGGGGTGAGGCAAGAGAGGCTTGTTTCATTTTTAACTCTTTGTTTAACAAACTTTTTATAAAAGAATTGAAATTGTCTATTGAACATTTTACAAATAAATTGTAAACAGATAAGAACATTGGCAGGATTACTGTAATAACCTTCAGTTTCATAAGGGTATATATTTAAAGAAGATGAATAAATGAGCAAATTAAGTTAATTTGGATATGCAGAAGATATTAAAAATAAATTTAAGGAACTGCAGAAAGGGGGGGGGGGAGGAAGCCAAGATTTGAAATGTCAAAATGATTGTAAAATCAGTGAAATATTTAAACCTGAAAAGTATTTTAAAATATATATGAAATTGACAGCAGCTATTAGAGGACATTCAAAACAAAGTTTGATAAAGAACTGGGAATGTGTGATGGAATATACAATGAAACATTCCAGTACAGAAATCATGATATGTACATGACAAAGTTTGTAAGGGGAAAAGGAATAAAATAAATAAAAATAAAAATATCTACAAAACAAAACACAACAACACAACAATAAAGATAAGAGTGTAAAATAAGGTCAAGCATCAATGGAAGGAAGTCATATTTTAGTTTAAAATTTGTTATAAGTATAAGTCAAGGAGGTGGGTGGGGAAGGGGGGAATGTTTGGTTTGGTCTGTGATTATTTTTAAATATTTCTGTATGCCTATTTCTTTCTTTTTTTACTTTTTGTTTTTTCTGAATTTTTTGTATTGTTTTGGTTTTTGGAAAATTAATTTAAAAAAATTAAAAAATGAAATGGTCAAGGCTGATCCTGCAGATGGGAATAACATCTTGCAGCGCCAAATGTGAACAGAAAGAGGAATATTCTGTCAGTTCCTGAACCCCTCCCTGCATACAAACACATCGTGACCCCGAAGGAAGGCCCCCAGCTGCCTCCTCCATCTCTCCCCACAAGTCGCTTCCCTTACCTGAGGCGTCTGCTGGATTTTGCGCTCCAGCCCAAAGAAGAGACGATTTAGGTGGGGCCTCCGATGGCATCGCAGTGGCTGTGGGGGAGACGGGGAAGCATGAATCCTATGCCAGTTTCCTTGCCAGGTGTGGCTGGACTACAGCTCCCACCGCCTTTTACCATTTGTGATGATGGCTGGGGCTGATGGGAGTTGTAGTCCAGGCACAATCTGGAGCGCACCAGTTTGGTGAAGGCAAGGGAGCACTCCCAGACGCAAGGAAAAGCAAGCCACAGCCATAAAAGCTAGGCAGGTGTTCTCCTGGAGGGCAGGATCTGTACCAATGGATTTAAGTTACACAAAAGGAGATTCCAACTCAACATCAGGTAGAACTTTCTGACAGTAAGAGCTGTTCGGCAGTGGGACAGTCTCCCTTGGGAGGTGGTGGACTCTCCTTCCTTGGAGGTTTTGAAGCAGAGTTCATAGAATGGGAGTCGGAAGGGACCCCGAGGGTCATCTAGTCCAACCCCTGCAATGCAGAAATATTTCACCCAATGTGGGGCTCAAACCCACAACCCTGAAATTAAGAGTCCTATGCTCTACCGACTGAGCTAGCCCAGCTCATTTGTCACGGATGCTTCAGCTGAGATTCCTGCATTGCAGGGGGTTGGACTAGATGACCCCTGGGGTTGCCTTCCAACTCTACCTGGTCTGCCCCGCAGAGGACCTTAAGGTCCATGAATAATCATAGTTTAGAGGTCCCAGGCCCTAAGGAAGTCAGATTATCCTCCACCAGGGCCAGGGCCTTCTCAGTGATGGCTCCAACCTGGTGGAATGCTCTGTCCCATGAGACCAGGCCCTGCAGGACTTGATCTCCTTCTATAGGGTCTGTAAGACAGAGCTATTCCACCTGGCTTTCAATTTGAACTTAGCCTGATCTTTTATTTCCCCTTCCTTCCCTCCCCCTCCCCTTTTTATGAAGATTGCCCGCTCTGGGATCCCACAGCTAATTCTCCCCTGGTCTCCTTGCTGGCTCAGATAGGTCTAATTTATCCAGCCAGCCTAAATGTTTATTGGACCGGATTTTCCTCCTAAATTGATTTTTGAAATTCTGAATTTATTGTTATTACACGGTTTTATGCTGTATTTTATGCTGGTTTTTGTTGGCATCAATTGAGTGTTTTAAATTTGTTGTTAGCCACCCTGAGCCCAGTTTTCTGAACTGGGAAGGGCGGGGTATAAATAAAAAAATATTATTTATTATTATTATTATTACTTCCAACCATCAAAGGAAGAGAGACCCCTGAACACACTTGTTGTCATTTAGTCATGTCCAACTCTTTGTGACCCTATGGACCAGAGCATGCCAGGCACTGAACCGGGAAGGGGCGGGGTATAAATTATTATTATTATTATTATTATTATTATTATTATTATTACAATTCTATGATTCTAGGTGCAAAGCGCACCAGATCCGAACTCTCTTTCCTAGCGGCTCTGAGCCAGCCTGTCCCTGGGAGAGGGAAAGCAAGTATTTCAACAAGTCTCCCGGCAGGGATTCTTGCATCGCAGCGGGGCTGGACTAGATGCCCCTCTGGGGTCCCTTCCAACTCTACAATGGCATGATTCTGCAGTCCTCCCATCTTCTGTCCCGGGGTTAGTGGAGGGAGATCTGAATGCGAAGGGAGGGCAGGAAGACAATGCAATGCGGGAGCCAGGCTTGGAGGGCAGACCCCCTTTGCAGCTGGAGGAGCTCGGAGTCTTTTTTGGGGGGAGGGGGATCTTTTTCACCTCGCTCTCTCCCCCCACCTCGCAAGCAGGGCTGATTCCCAGGCACCCTCTGCTTTCCCCCAACCCACATATTCCCCATGCGAATGAATGATGGGATGGGCGGGGGACGGGGCTGTTGCTTCAAAGGGGATCGTGCAATGGAAACGTGGCAGATATGTGGATCCCCTTTCGGATTGCACAGATCACGACCCTCCCGCCACCTGCGAGTCTAAGAGAGGAGTTAGACTTCCCCTTTCTCTCCAAAAAGGGAAAATTCTCCCCGTTCCCTCCTGCCCCTCCCAATCCATCCCTCCAGTGTCGCCCAGTCCTCCCAATTTATTCATTTTTTTGGGGGGGGTCTTGTCTTTTTCTGCACAAACACACCCCTCCCTCCCTCCCTCCCTCCCTCCCTCCTTCCTTCCTTCCTTCCTTCCTTCCTTCCTTCCTTCCTTCCTTCCTTCCTTCCTTCCTCTCTCCCTCCTGAATCTCACCTGGTCTGTCTTCCTTTCCCTGGGATGCGAAGGGAGACGATGGCACCATTGTCTTGCAATTCTACCCTCAACTCCCACACATGGGGAAAACTTCCTGCCTCTCTAGGAACCGCAGCTCAGTTCCTAGGTTCTTTGGAGGACTGAGTTGGCAGGAGCTGCCTTCAGGCCCCCCCCCCCAATAAATCACAGCTGCTTCAATTATTTTTTCTCTGTGTGTCTCTCTTTCTCTCTCTAACACACGCAGAGCAGACCCTCCAAGTGTCCCCGTTTTCCAGGGACAGCCCCAGATTTTCAGGTTTCTTAGGATGTCCCTATTTTTATCGGAGAAGTGTTGGAGGGTATGGAGTTATACCACCTGCAAGCCAAGGAGATAAATAATTGGAAGACATCTGAAAGCAGCCCTGTATGGGGAAGTGCTTTTTTAATGTTTAATGTTGTCTTGAGGGGATGGAGTGGTTTGATACTGAATCCAATGATTTATAGGGACATTGGGCTTCCCCTCCTTGGAGGCCTTAAAGCACAGACCAGAGAGCTGTAGAATCGTAGAACCGTTGTTATAAGAATTTTAAGGTTTTATACACACACACACACACACACACACACACACTGTGGTACCTCTGGATGCGAACAGGATCCGTTCCAGAGCCCCGTTCGCATCCTGAAGTGAACGCAACCTACGTCTGCGCGTGCACGGGTCACAATTCGACGCTTCCGCGCATGCACGTGACATCATTTTTGAGCGTCTGCGCATGTGTGAGTGGCAAAACCTGGAAGTAACGCACTCCGTTACTTCTGGGTTGCCGCGGAGCGCAACCTGAAAACGCTTAACCCGAAGCTACTTCAACCCGAGGTATGACTGTATATGATAAATGTTCATAACTGTATATATAAACCACATGTCTGAAACCCCACAGAAAAAGTCCTGAAACCATTTTGTGCCTCCCAAACTGACCTCAAATATTTCTCTGCAAGGTCGAAGGAAAATGGAAAAACGTCCCCATTGTCTCTGTCCTCACAAATCCTGCCTTAAGGGTATGTCTGTGTATGAACAGGGTGATCCTGTGACCTGGCTCAGGAACTAAGTATTTATCATTACAAAAGACTAGCCAGGCCCCCACAGGTAATCCAGTCAAGTGACCATTAACAGGTAACCTGCCAGACAGGAGATAATCAAGGCACTCAGATTTCTGTTGTAGACCGCCTTTTCTCTGATGTAGGTATGATGTATCTGGGGGGTGGTCTTGGGCTACACCCCTTCTGTGATGTAGGTAAGATGTTTCTGGGGGTGGTCTTGGACTCCAGGGCGGGCAATTTAAAATGTCTATATAAGGGCAGGCACACTTAGGTTCTGGGTCCTCCTGCGTGTGAGGGGAGCACCCTGTTGCAACAACTTTAATAAAGATCAGGCTTACTAGCTGCTTTGCTTCTCAATATTCTCTGGTTGGCCTCTGTTATTTTCTCCTACCAATAGGGAACCCACGTAAGGACTCTATACGGGCTCTTGGATACCCCATAAGGGAAAAAGGGCAGATTTTGTTTACAACACTGTAGAGTTGGAAAGGGACCTGCAGGGGTCATCTAGTCCAACCCCCTGCATTGCAGGAATCTCAGCTGAAGCATCCGTGACAGATGGCCACCCAACCTCTGCTTAAAAATCCCCAAGGAAGGAGAGTCCACCACCTCCCGTTCAAAGAGCTCTTACTGTCAGAAAGTTTTTTCTGATGTTTAGTCGTAAACTTATTTCTTGTAGCTTGAAGCCATGGGTTCGAGTCCTACCCTCCAGAGTGGGAGAGAACAAGCATGCTTTGTATGTCCTGCATCGAGATGCCCTCTGGGAGACCTTCAACGCTGTGGCTCCGAATTGTAGCTGAAAATCTTCCCAGAGCTGCAGAAGAGAACTTTTAGAAGACATATGAAGGCAGCCCTGTATCGGGAAGCTTTTAATGTTTGACATTTTATGATGTTTTTATATGTGCTGGAAGCTGCCCAGAGTGGCTGGGGAAACCCACCCAGATGGGCGGGGAATAATAATAATAATAATAATAATAGGTGCGGGACTTTGTCTCCTGGCTTTAGCAAATGCCTCTTTCTCCCCCTTCCTTATTATTTTACCAGCTGGCTTGAGATGAAGCTTCTTATCTGAGTTTGCTTTCGTGTCACATCTGCCTTTGAGCTCTCCCCACCCAGAACCCATCTGAGCTTATGCCGCAGCTTTAAAAACAGCCCCCACAACCCTGTGTTTGGGTTGGAGCTCAGACAGCCCTGTGCTGCAGCTATTTTTTTTAGAAAGCCGTTTAACTACTCCAAATATTGTAAGAATTTATTTTCTGTACAACTGGCTAGCTCTCTGGGGAGTCCCTTGTGGCCGGAAGCAGGCTTTGAAATGCTGCCAGCAATTAAACAAAGTTATTGGCTGCTGGTTCAGGAGGCAGTTGGCCGGCCTTTTCGGGGATTTCCTTTCCATATATAACGCTCCCTGCCTTTTCTGGGAAATCAGGTGAGAGCGAAGAAGTTGCCATTTCCCTTTTGGACAGCAGAGGGCACTGCTGCACCATCAAAAGCCTCTTTTGCAAAGAGGCGGCAAGGCTGTTGAATGTTGACAGCGAATAAAATCCATGCAAAGGAATCAGGACTGGCCCAAGGCATTTTGGTACTTGAGCTGCACCACAAAGAGGAGAGCGCAAAATATGGTCTGAAGCTCAACATCAAAAAAACGAAGATCATGGCCACTGCTCCCATCACCTCCTGGCCAATAGAAGGGGAAGAAATGGAGGCAGTGAGAGATTTTACTTTCTTGGGCGCCATGATCACTGCAGATGGTGACAGCAGCCACGAAATTAAAAGACGCCTGCTTCTTGGGAGAAGGGCAATGACAGGCCTAGACAGCATCTTGAGAAGTAGAGATGTCACCTTGCCAACAAAGGTCCGTATAGTTAAAGCTATGGTCTTCCCAGTAGTGATGTATGGAAGTGAGAGCTGGACCATAAAGAAGGCTGATCGCCGAAGAATTGATGCTTTTGAATTATGGTGCTGGAGAAGACTCTTGAGAGTCCCATGGACGGCAAGAAGATCAAATGCATCCATTCTTAAGGAAATCAGACCTGAGTGCTCACTGGAAGGACAGATCGTGAAGCTGAGGCTCCAGTACTTTGGCCACCTCATGAGAAGAGAAGACTCCCTGGAAAAGACACTGATGCTGGGAAAGATGGAGGGCACAAGGAGAAGGGGGCGACAGAGGACGAGATGGTTGGATAGTGTTTTTGAGGTTACCAGCATGAGTTTGACCAAACTGCGGGAGGTAGTGGAGGATAGAGGTGACTGGCGTGCTCTGGTCCATGGGGTCACGAAGAGTCGGACACGACTAAACGACTAAACAACAACAACAAAAAGATGCTACCGTGTTTGAGAGTTTCTCTTCCTTTGACAGCTGGGAGTAGGAACCCCGTTGCAGCAAAAGACCAAATAAATGAACAGATTCAGCAGCTTTGCTTTTACTTAACCCTAGCTGAAGTCTCCCATTTTTTGCGCTGAGCATACATAACTCTTCTGTCTGTGGGAGACAAACGTTTTCAGCCTTAACTGGACTCCTTCCTTGCCTCTCTAATGTCACCTGCAGAGAAGAAACCAAACTTTAAGTGCGGTTTATATGCAGTTTATTTATTGCTGTCAGGGGTTCAGGAGCAGAGGCAGCCCGGAGAGGGAGCCAGGTCCCAAAGCCCGCCGAAAAGAGGGGGAGGAGTCAGGGGGGTCAGCGTCAGAAGAGTCCAGGAAGGAGGAGACCCCGGGGGGCAGAAGGACCCAGAGGAGAAAGGAGAGACGGAAGAGGTGGAGTAAGGTTAGAGTCTTAAGTTGGTGTACAGGGGGCGGAGACTCAGATGGAGCTTCGCCGATCTAACCCCTAGACGTAGAGCTGGGGCGCTGCGGCTTGAAAATGGAAACTGTACTTCAATAAAGACTTTTGTACATTACTACCGGCTAGCGTTGGTCCTCTGTGAGCTGGGACCTGGAGCCAGCTCTGACAATTGCGCTATAATCCAAGCAGTCATATAAATGGGCTCTTCGGTTGTGGGACTAAGGTCAGCCAGGAAGCCCCCCCCCCATGCAAGAAGGCTGGTGTGACACATTTTGAAACGAATCAAGGGACACGTATTGTCATTGGAAAACAGATGGGGGCTGTTCGGATCATTAAATCCCGAGCCTGGTATTGCCAAAGTGTGTCACTGGATTGCGGCTGATTGGTTGTATAAGCAAAATAAGCGAGTCACACGGAATACATCCAACTGAATGATTTATTTGTGCTTAGTTTCCTTGGGCAAAGACACACAATGTGACAAGGAGCAACTCGCTCGGGTTCAGCTTCATTCTTTCATGCTCATTCATTATCTGCAAAGAAACAGCAGAGAAACAAGGAGAGATTAAGTCCTGGTTTTAGAAGAGGAAGCAGGTTTTAGGAGAGGAAGTCCCCTCGGAACTTCTTCAGGACCCACGAATCTACGGGAACAAACTTTTTCTCAGAGGGACTGGGTAAATGAAAATGGGCACAGATGGAGTCCTTGCCATTGTTTTCCTGGGTAGTAAAGGTAGAAGGTAAAGGACCCCTGGTTGGTTAATTCCAGTCAAAGGAGACTATGGGGTTGTGTTTTCAGGTGAAGCATAGGAGCATAGGAGCATTCTGCCCTGTGGTTTTTCAGGAACTGGTGTTCACCTGTCACCTCTAGCTTACATAAACTATACCAAATTTTAGCTGTTTTTAATTTGCACTTATAGCTGGGGCTTTCAGACGACTCTTTTTTCACCTGCAGCAACAGCCTAACTTTGATAACCTAGGAAGCAAAGCTGGGTGGTGTTTAATAATAATAATAATAATAATTATTATTATTATTTATACCCATCCCTCCCCAGCCAAGGCCGGGCTCAGGGCGGCTAACAAGCAATAATAAAAACAAGTTGAATGAATACAACTTAAAAACAAGATTAAAATACAACATTAAAATATTGAAACATTAAAATATTAAAATGCAGCCTCATCACAGGAGGAGAAAGGAAAAAGAAAGAGGGGGAGGGAATCAAAC